TCTTCAGGTCTTGAGATTTCTGGGGTCCTTGCATTTCATCAGAGCTTCCTTCCTTCTGGGTACAGGAAACTGGCAGTCTAGACCAGCTCTTCTGGATTCTCCGCGATGTGGGTTGTGAGAGCCAGTTCTGTGCAGGGACTTGGAAGAAGGGCGGCAGGAAGAGGAACCAGTATTGGCCCTGCGGTGATGCTGAGGAAGACCCCAAAGCCTGACTGTGCTGTTTCCACATGATTGGTGTCAGCCTGTCTGCTCCTTTTGCCACTTTCTTGTTATCAAGGCCGCACTGGGACAGTTTTTAGCTGGCTGAGAGGTGGTATCCTCTCCTGCCTTCTATGAGATGACCATTTCCCACTCTTGCATTCATGGCCGCCTCACTCCCACCTACTGTCAAGGGCTTCCAACTCTGACTGAGTTCTCTACCCTCCCTGCCCAGCTGTGTCACTGAGGTACTCTCTCACTTCTTCATTCCAAAAGAAGCTCTCTGACGGCTTAGCTTTCACTTTTTCCCTCTCACCACAGCTTTCTCAGGTACTTGCAAACTTTCAACCACTTCGCTCCAGCTTCTCTCCCGTCTTTCTACTGTTCCTTGATGATGACTCACACTCCCTTTCCTCACTCTGTGTGGCCTTCCATTCCTGCCCCTGTTCCTGGTCACTCATTGTTTCCCACCACAGGGACCTTCTTTCTGGTGCTTTGTGATGTCTCCAGCTGCTTTGTACCCATCTATGATGCAGTCTCATTTTTAGTATTTCTTTTTCCTCTAGGTTCCCATAATACTTAGTTCAAATTTCTAACATAGCTATATCACAGCAGTCTATGAGGGGTCAGAATCCTTCTAGTGCTGATTCTTCACAGACATCATCTTCATCATTGATCCCCATTCCAAGGAGAGTCCTAGCCCCTGACTAGACCTTGTGTGCTGAGTGAATAAATATTTCTGTCATTTCAAATCTCTGTTTGTGCCTTGTTTGCTCTGATGCTTATTTTCCTGATTTCATCGGTGTTCAGAGACTTTCTTTCAACTTTTCATTTACAAGTACATTCAGACTTTCAAAAGAGTTGCAAAACTACTACAAAAAACTCCCACACACTCTTCAACCAGATTCCTCAGACATGACGTCTAACATAACCACACTACAATGATCAAAACCAGAAAATTCACATGGATGCTTTCTTCAGATTTTTTCCCATTAACGTTTTTTTTTTTCTGAAGCAGAATCCAAGTCCAGAATCCTGTATTATGTTAAGTTTCCATGTCTCCCTAATGTTCTTTAATCTGGGACAATGTCTTCATCTTTGTGTTCTGTGACTTTGAAACTTTTGGAAGCCACTGGCCAGTGTTTCTGTAGGACCTTTATTGACCTGGGTTTGTGTACTATTTTCTTTTGATTGTATTTTACATGTTTTTCCAAGAAAATACTTTGTAGTACGTTGTCCCAGAGAGATAATATTGTGTATTGATCTCATTACTGATGGTGTTTATCTTGGTCACTTGATGAAGATGGTTCTGACAGGTATCTCCACTCTAAAGTTATTCTTTCCCTTTATAATTCATAAATATCTCATAGGATTATGTGAATATGATGGGTCTCATTATAATTTCTTGGTTGTTGTATCCTTTGATTATTGTGGAATGCAAAATTGTTACTGTGGTGTTTTGCAAATGATGGCTTTCTGCTTCAGACTTTAAAGGAGGCTGGAGAAATGATTAGCCTGTGGCATATCACTGAAGGCCCAACCCCAGCAATGACCCCACCTAAGGCATTCTCTAAATGAGATCTGAGCATTTTGGATAGCACTCTGGGTCTCAGATCTCACAAATTACTCTCTTTCTCTTGTCTTCCCTTACTCCCAAATCTCCTAGTTGTGAATACAAAGAGGCACTCCTGATGGGATGGTGGTGTTCCTGATGAGACACCAAGAAGGGCTATCACAAGTAAATTGATCATGACTTAATTATTAATTCATGCTCCTAAAGTACATACTGTGGAGATGAATGCTCTAAGCCAAAAGCTCCTTGGCTCACATTTTTAGAACTACTGATTTAAAAGACAACTGCATAGGCTAAGATCAGGGTAGCATATAATAAATCCAGACCTAATGTCTTTGGGAAAATACTTCCCAGTCCATCCCAGCTATGGCATAAAGTTAATGACCTTGGTGGATCTTTTCTAAAGCAATTAGGTACTTTCTGAATTTAGAGAAAGAATTCCTGATAGATTCCATCAATCCTTGAAGTGTAGTGATTTATTAACTAAGAAAATTTCAAATCCATAGACAGTACTAAAAAAGAAAACCCTTCTTTTCATGTATTTATGATAGTTCACAGTGTGGCCAACTTTAAGTTAGTTCTTCTCTGCTTAGGGAGGGCAAGGTGATGTAAATCTGCATGTTTTCAGAGGACTGCAAAACAGGTCAGGATTCCTGGATGCACTTAGACTTCTTGGAGTAGGCAGATGAGTGGACATGGATTTACACTTAGAACTGAGGTGAAGAGTAAAGAAACAGCCTGCTTCAAACCTGAGCAGTGGGGCACTAGAGCGAGTGAACTTCACCGAAGCAGACAGAATCGGAGACACTGACCTGTCTCTAGATTTAGTCTCAGCATTGGAGGAGTCTCCCGACTAACTGTCCACTCCATATCCTTCACACACATGGAAAGCCTGGAATTGCAGAGGAGGATGGACAAGACCAAAAGGCCAGGGTTTGGCTGAACACACTGCAACACATGGGGGAAAGGAGACTCAGTGCCTCCCTTTCTCCTGTGTGACAGCACTGGGGCAGCAACTGGTCATGATGTGTATCAGGGGGACAGGTTGGGGGCTGTTACAGACAGAGTGACGGCTACCACTGCAGAAATACTGCTGGCATTAGAACCTGTGTCTGCAGTTTCCTCTTATGGCCAGTGGAGTCCAGGATACAAAGGTAGGTTACCTTCTTTATTTACCTAAATAAATTAAAGTAAAAGCTATCTCCTCTTTCAGGGGGTGCCTTAATGCTAATGATAATATTTGCTGGGATCTGTAAGAAATGATAATGTAATTCGAGCACTCTGGGAGGCTGAAGCAGGAAAGCTGAACATTTGAGCTCAGTCTACTTAACTCAGTCACTTTGCGAGACCCACATTATTATTATTATTATTTTATCCTGAGGTTTATTTTTGTTGTAATTTGGTTTTACATTTTTATTTTTCATGTATCAATTGAATATAAGAAATAACTCATGAAAATTAAAAACTAAATAATTTCATCCTGGACTACCACAATTTACCTCATGTGATGTTTGAATTCTTTTCTAAGTATAATAAATTGTAAGTGTACAGTGCTGCCTCTTTAAGGCAGTGTTCAAAATTAATTTCAACAGTGTATGTTTAACATAAAGTTAACTATGTTTGCATTAAATATAATGTTTATTAATGAAAGCTATCATGCAAGAAACAGCAAAGGTAAGTCATCATCACAGAGATGTGCGCCACAGATGACAGATGAAAAGGTGCATGCAGAGGCTTCTGTTGGAAAAAGAATAAGTAATAATGCTAAAATTACTACATTTTGATTCCTATACTCTTAAATGAGTGATAGCTTTTCTTAGAATTTACAACTGGAAAATGCCATTAACAGATAGGACTAACACACATTAGTAAGCAGGCCAAACAAATACTTATAGATTTTATTTTACAAGGATTGTTCTTAACAAATGTGTAGGGTTGTTTTTTCAGTCATAGCTTTTTCCAAATATAGAGTGGGTGTGTTACTGCCAAGTTACTCTAACTTTTAAAAAATAACATCATTTTAAGCCTTCGTTTGTGATAGATATCATAAGGAATAGAAGTTTTATTAGCATTCAATAAGTGACATTTAAGTCTCACTTTGTCTTTTAAAAATTTTTGGTTCAATAGCTTTTTAAATGTGTGACTATCACAGCCTAATAGTGTCTTTGTCTTCACTGCAGTTGATTTCTGCTCAAACTTTCCCCCTTCTTTTAATACTTCAAGGAATTTTCAGATGTCGGGATGTTTGGCTGTAGGGCCCCAAGATGTGTTCTCCTGCAAAACTCTTTTGGTCAGGCCTCTTTTCTGGGCAAGCTGCTCAGAAGGAGTTCCTTGGCATCCTGGTTGTGGCTGATGGCAGAGGAGGGTTTCCTGGTCCGCAGCTGATGGCACCGGAAGAGGGTTCGCATGCTTGGTCTTGTGCGGGTGGCTAAGGCTGCTGGTCTGCTCCAAGAGGTCTGCCGCATACTCATGACAACCTGAGTTGTCACTGACCCTGTCCCCTCCCAGCGCTGGGCTCTTCTGCTTCCGGGCGCCCCTTTGTGCACTGTGCAGGTGCTTAAGTAAGGAAGGGCTGAGCTGCAGCTCGTGTCACCTGCTCCATGTAGCTCAGCTGTGGTAGACAATCTCCTTGCGGACTGGATCAGGGAAACCTTTATGTGAAAGTGGTGGTCCGAAGTGTTTTAAAATTCTATTTTTTGTTAGTACATGTCAGCAGTACTCAATGATTACTTTGTAGTGGGGAACCGGCAGGAGCACATAACACTTCCTAATTCTTTTTCTTTACTTTTTCCTTCCTCCTTCTCTAGATGCCTTTCCTATTTCAAAAGATCTATGTTCCTCTATATTTTGCTCTTTAAATTATTTATACTTTTAATTTCTCAGCTGCCTAAACATTCTCTGGGACAGCACAAAAGCTGTTTGTCCTGAGAAACAGGTTCTCATCAGGGACTTCTTTAGAGCCCAGGAACTGGGTTTATTCTCTTCTAGTCATTAGGGTACCTCTGTCTGAAGGAATGGCACTGTCTGGGAAGGGTTTCTTTCCCTTGCTTCTCAACACAGTCACAGGGACAAAGCTCTCTCATTTTGCAGCTCTGAACCTCAAGCTGACGGGATCCCTGTAAGGCTTGTCTTTCCCGGCTGAGTTCGCTGGAAGAGTGATCACTGAGGACTCTCGAACGCACACTTCTGACCGGAGCCTCGGGAGACAGGAGGCCAAACTCGAGCAGGATCAGCTCTCAAACTTTATTACGTACAGCGAACCGGACCTAACAAGGTCCGCCACCCTCAACGTTGATTCCTCTTCCGCCGTTGGGGGCAGGAACAACCTCTTATAAGGGGAAGCAGTATCCAATCACAGAGAAGCGCGCCTAACAAGCTGATAGGCTAGCGTCACGGGTAACTGGGCAGATATGACAATTTGGCGGGCTTGTTCAGGCCGGGAAGAACCCGGAAGCAGGAAATGGGCGCCATCTCAGGCGGCTTCCCACATCTCCCCCTTTTTTATTTATTAAAATAGGATGGTCTGTGGGTCCCTCCAAGGTGTCTATGACCTTGTTGCTGTTAGACACCTAGGAGTGGGCCTACCTTATAGGCCGAGGCATGAGAGAATGTAGAGGTCTATACCCTGCTGTGCATCACCCTGTTTTGTGCATATCCTTGCGCCAGGACCATGCTCAAGGTGAGTGGTTCATTTTTTCGCAGGGCCAGGCTTTTGTGAACCGAACCTGGATGCATATAGACATTCATTCCTGCCTTCCCCCCAACCTTTGGGGCGGATGGCACTGCAGTACCCTTGGTCTCGCATCTCAATGCCAATAATTTGACTCCGGGAGGGACCCCTGGCCTTATAGGCCATATATATCTGAGTGGAGCCTGTCTTAGGTTGACTGGGAGGGCTTTTCCCGTCTTACCCGTCATTGGCTTGCCCACTCAGCTCTTATAGCTGATGTTCTGCAATGTGAAGGAGATATGCGGCGGCCTGCTGGCCTGATGGGCCACCTGCTGCCATTTGCATGGCTGCCATAGCTGTGATCTTAACCTGCTGCTGAGTTTGTATGAGGCGATCTAACAAGCATTTAATAACCACAAGCCCCACTAGGATGGCCACGGCAATCAGGATCCAAGTAGTCAGGTTGGGCCAGGAGAACCAGGAGGTGACGCGTTCCCACAAACTGGCTATTTTTAACAGTGTTGGTCAAATTTGTGCGAACAGGGGTGATTAATAGGAACCCACAGAATAGAAAAAGCTCCAAACCAGACATTTTAGTTTGTAGATGGTCTCGGGCGCTGAGCGTCGGTCCCAGAAGGATCGAGTTGACTTGTGTCCGCGGGCTTATCCTCCTGTGCTTTATCAGGAACTGGTGGGGAGTTTACTGCTCGCGTCAATCTTTCCGGGACCCACAGCGGTTCGCAGCCTGGTTCCTGTGGGAAGACACAAACCGCACCTCGGGTCCAGCTAATCACTGGATCCGGGCCCATCCATTGTCCTGTAAGGACATCTTTCCATCTCACCAGCCCTTTGTCGGCCGGGGACGGGTTATTGTGCTCCATGGCAGGGGAATGATTATTGTGATTAAGGTTTAAAAAATTTATGGTAAAGAGTGCCAATGATATTCTTCCTTTGGGCGTTAGGCCGTGGCCACCCAATTCACGGCACAGGCGTGTCCACTCTTCTAAGGACCTATTTTTGTTAGTTCTTAGGACATCACGGCACTCCTTAGTGCACTGTTCAAAAATCAATTGTTTTATGAGAGGGTGAGCCGCCTCAGCATCTGGAAAAATCCTGTTAGCGGCCTCAAGCATGCGGGCCACAAAGTCTGAAAATGGCTCTCCCTGCCCTTGTATAATTTTTGTAAGGTGACCCGTATGTTCTCCCTTTCCAGCCAGCCGTCTCCAGGCCTGGAGGCCACAGCGGCTAATTTGTTCATAAACCTGGCGAGGGTATTGAGTTTGATCTTCCTCAAAGGCTCCTCGCCCTAATAGCATATCCCTGTTCCACTCTCTCTGGTTATTTTCCCTGTTGGCTGCCGCCTGCTCTACACAGAATTCCTCATTCCAGGACTTCCAATCTAAATATTGTCCGGGGGAGAGGCAGGCGCGTGCCAGCTGGGTCCAATCTCCAGGAGTTAAAAGCAGACCTGCCAATGCCTCTAAAAGCGCCATGGTAAATGGCACATTGGGCCCATAAGCTGAAACTGCGTCCTTGATAGTTTTAAGTTGTTTAATTTCTAAGGGCTCATAATATCCTCCTCCTCCCCTGCCTCCTACTTGTACCGGGAATGCATGGAGACCGGAACACTCAAAAGGAAGCCGCGACCATACCCTCTGGTGGAAGGAACGTCCTCCTCCCTCCCCAGATGGGGGCGCAGAAGGCAACCCAGGAAGTAGCTCTCCCTCTAACCAGGGCGGTGCCATAGGTTGTGGTGGCAGCCCAGGGAGCAACTCCTCTTCCGGCCACGGCGGTGCAGTGGGGCCTGGCGCCCTGAAGGGAGCGACCCTGGGTCGCGAACTTGCCAAAGGGCGGAAGGGCTTAAGCTCTTCCCGTAAGGCGGAGTAGCTCGGGCAGGGTGGTGTTTGGTTCCCCTTTTTATCTTCCCGAGCCCTAAGTTCCTCTTTTAACGGTGTAGGAGGGTCATGCTTAGCAAAGACGACCTCCTCTTCTGAGCCTTCCGAATCCGAATCAGAATTAGAGCCCTGAGGGTCCTCCGGAGACCCACAATCGGCAGTGGCTCCGGGCTCCTCTGAGCATTCCGATCGAGCTCAAAAGCCTGTCGGGCTGTATTAGCGAAGCGAAAGCAAAACAGATGCAAAGGGAAAAGAAAAGAAAAAAAAAAACCGGCGTCCACTCGTGTGGCGCTCAAAATCTGTTAGGTGCGTCCACCCAACCCAGGTGACCCAGTACTCACCTGTCCCGGGAACCGCTGTATCTCACGTAGCTGATCAGGGTGAAGAGAAGAGGCGCTCGCGGCCTTCTGTTGTTATTGAGCCAGGTCCTCCGTCGTACCGCAGGCGACAGCAATCGCACCTCCCGGCCGAAGAGGCACGTCGCTGAGTCTTTTACCTTTTTCCCCGTACGGGCCACCAGATGACCGGAGCCTCGGGAGACAGGAGGCCAAACTCGAGCAGGATCAGCTCTCAAACTTTATTACGTACAGCGAACCGGACCTAACAAGGTCCGCCACCCTCAACGTTGATTCCTCTTCCGCCGTTGGGGGCAGGAACAACCTCTTATAAGGGGAAGCAGTATCCAATCACAGAGAAGCGCGCCTAACAAGCTGATAGGCTAGCGTCACGGGTAACTGGGCAGATATGACAATTTGGCGGGCTTGTTCAGGCCGGGAAGAACCCGGAAGCAGGAAATGGGCGCCATCTCAGGCGGCTTCCCACACACTTCAGCACTAGGACCCAGACGGGATACTAGGCTGGGTACCTGTCCTGAAGAAGGAGGAGGAACAAGTCACATCTTTGTCCATCACTGAGCACTGGGGACCTGGAGAACAGTGCTCCACAAAGGGCACACCCTGTAGCATAGGTTGGCTCAGATTCTCCTAGTGACGGGAGGAAATGGTGTGCTCAGGCCCTGTGTGAATTCTGTCAGTCAGATCTGTGTGAGATCTGGCCTCACTCTGGTCAGCTCTACTTGGAAAAGCACTTGTAGAGGCTGGGAGATGTGGGCTGGAGGGGTGGACAGTGCCTGAGCTCTGTCAGGACCATGTTGTTAGTAGCATTAGTGTTGTTTCCTATGTAGGGCCTGTGATATAACCCTGAAGTCTCTCCACTTCTGGAATTCCTAGGAACATATAGAGAAGATATGGTAAGATAGCCTTTCCCTAAGTGTTCTCCATTCATTTAATCAATGATGCTGTTTACTGGGTGACTACCAACTGGCAAGTGTGTGCTGGGTGCCAGGAATGACAGCCGTGACCAAGACAAATCAGGTCATTGCCCTTGGAAAATTTGCTTTTTGTGGAGGAAAACATAGAAGAAGCAATAACTTGATAAGAATATTGTATATAATACATGTTACAGAGGAAACAAGACAAGTCAATTGCAATAGAATCATCTGGGAGTTACAGGGCTGCTTTAGCTGGGGAAGGTCTCCCTGATCTGAAGGGTAGGACAGGTACAGACCCATGGGATGACAACTCCAGGCTTTGGAATTATCCCAATCAAAGGCCCTGTTGTAGGACTGTGTTTGAAGACAAAAAAGATCAGTGGAGAGTAGCCATGGGTGGGCAAGGAGAAGGGAGTAGGGTAATGAATCCAGGCAAGGTCAGAGTAGTGCATGGGCAGAGGATGCATGGTGGAAGGCTTTATAGGTCTCACCTTCACGTTTTAGTCTTCTGACAAGAGGCTGGGTGGTTTTCTGGCTCAGTCTTTTACAATTGTCTTTCCTGGAGATCTTGATTTCATCTAAAGTCCAAGGAATCAGCAGAGGGGGGCAAGGTTCTGCACCCTCTTCCCGAGTTTCACTTCCAGCCACTGGGCCTCTCTGCCCTGAATCAGCTTTAAATGTTCAGATTCTGTGTGAGATTTAACCTCTCCGTGCCTTCACAGCTTGGGGTGTTAATGATGGGCTAGAAGTTCCTTCACTCCTCACTAAGAAGAGGGGTTTATTCACCCTGCTCTAGGGGCTGGGCTGGTCCCATGACTGCTGTAACCAAAGAATGTGGCAGAGTGATGCGGGGGCCTTCCACTTCCTCCTGCACAGACAGACTTTTGGGGCCTCCACTGCTGTATAAAGAGACTCCTCTTTGCAGAGGAGAACAAGTAGCAGACGGCCACAGAGGCTGCAGGTGAGGAGATCCCAATCTCCCAGCCAGGCTGTGCCCTGAGGCCCAGCATCATGGTCACATCAGGGCGCCATGCAGCACTGTGGGCAGCCTTGTCTCTAGCAGACCCCTCCTGGAGTAGAGACGTGCCCTTCCCACTCGCCTTCTCATGGGCTTAGCATAGTTATTTGACATTAAATGGTTCCTGTTTAATCCACTTTGTTTTGGGATACTTCATTACACAGTGATAGCTAACTTAACAGAGGTTGAAACAGTCTGAGAATCATTCCTCTGAGCAAACTCAATGGTTTTACAAAGAACCGACAACTTATCTCTGACAGTTCAGGACACCCTGGAGGAGAAGGACAGGACATAGGAGTGTGAAATGGTCCTGAGGTAGAATCACTACCAGCTTTTGTTCTTGACCCCGTTGTTTCTAAAATACTGTATAAATAACAATATGAACCTGGGCTTGGTGTCTGACACTGTGATGCCATATTTAAAATCAGAAACCGTAGGTAGAGACCTTGGCACCTAATAGGAGTTCCAGTAAACTATCACTATCGTATGATAGTCAGCCCTTCTATAGGGGAGCTCTGGGCACGTTTCTTGGGGGGGAGGCTGGTTAGTGGGTCCAGTGTTCTGTCACTGACACGGCCCATGTGGCAGCATAGGTGTTCACAGCTGCAGGAGCAGGAGAGTGGCTCATACACACTGTGGAGTTGCTTTAGATACTCATATGTGTGCTAATGTGGTATTTCATAACTTTGAATTAGTATTGAAAACATTTTCCCCTTTTCAAGCCATTCAGTTGTTATAAAATCAAAGCTGAAGTGCTACCATAGCTGTAACATCTCTCTAACCTTTGCTAAACTACCCACTTTCCATTTTATATTTATGTTTGTTTTTGTTTTTTAATTTTAGCGGACAGAATGCAACTCTAGGTTTAACATATTTGGTAGGCCGCAGTATACAGCTAAACTAACACTGATGGATATCATCACTTAGTTTTCATTATATTTATTTATTTTGTCCATTATTAGTTTATATTTGAATTTGATGTAAACACTTGTCTGAAGATAAGGAGGTAGTCATTTTAAAGAAAAATACGAGAAGTTGTACCAGTAGTGCATGCTGTGACAAAGATCGGGATGAAGCTATGCAGGTGACTGATACAAATGCTGCTCCAGTGAACATCCCCAGATTTTTCTGTGGGTCCTGCTGTGGATTGTCACAGTGAAGGAGAGCTGATAGACTCTTCTCTGCCACCTCTGTCACCCAGGTACTGCAGTCCTCCTGAGCCTGATGGGGTCAGCAATGAGGACAGCAGGAGGGGACCGCAGCCTCATAGCTAATGCTCCAGTTGGTGAGACTCTCCTTGGCCCCTTCCAGCCAGCTGTGGTGTCCAGGTGGCGGTGTCTTACTGTTCTAGTCCCTTCCAGGAGCCCTGTGTGCTCCGGAGCCACGACACCTGCCCGGGACTCCTGCCTAGGCGGCTGTGTGGGCTCAGCCCTCCCTGACCTTCCCGGCCGGAGTGTGCCTCCCTAATGTGCTCAGCACTTTCGGCTGTTCTGTGATAGTCTCAAAGGGCGTGGAGATGAGAGCATTGCTGAAAATGTGCATCTTCTGCAGGAAAGGGCCAGGGAACACTTAGACAGGGAAAGGACAAAAGATCAAAGTGGTTTTGGAACAGAAGCAAAAAAGGGGGCGGGCTATAAAATTTGAATGAAGCGCTTGGAAAAAGAAGCAGGAGGTAGACAGCTTGATTTTGTAGTTAGAACCAAGCAGGGGAGAAATGATAAGAGCAAGGATGGGAGCCCTTTAATGAAGGGGCTGCTTAGAAAACAAAAATGCTACTGTAATCCTGATCAAAGCATCACAACTTATCGGTGTTGATAAGCTTTTGAATGCAAGCATAGCGTTTCCATCAGCAACACAGACTTTCTGTGGCTCCTTTATCCTCCTAGGTATCTGCTTTTTTATGTCACTTCCTCTCTGAAGTCTTCCTGGATCACACCACCTCTTTTCCAGCCCTGATCTCACTGGGGTTTAATCACTTACTATCACATAGAATTTTATTTAATTATTTGTTTATTGTCCTTTCTCCTATTAGGTAGTAACTCCATACAGACAGGGACACTGCCTGTCACTTTGTATCTTCAGCTGCTCTAACACAAAGGCATCCAGAAAAAAAAGTTGGAAGAATCAATACAACCAATTAATGTTTGTGAGACTCCTGGTATGTGCAAAATAATAATAGGAATAAGACATGTCTCAAAGGAATTTTTCCTCAGGAAATATTCTAATTGTTATTATTATTACTATAATCACTGCCAGTGTTAAAGGCCTTGTCACAGGCTAGGCACCTTATACACATCATGTTATCTCTCATAACTAGGGGAACCGTGAAATATAAACATATTTACCAATAGGCATTGCAGACACTGACAGATCAGCACCATGGATGTCGCTGAGATCTGAGAACCAGGAAATGGCAAAGCCAGAATTCAAAGAAAAGTGTGATTGCCAGGAGTACTTGTTGGTCTGTGTGCTGAGAAATAAAATGAGTTCTACCATCCAACCACTCACTGTAAGTGTCGGCAGGGAGCTGAGCCTGGGGAAGCCAACCGGCCTCCTCTCCACTGCCATCTTACTCCCACCACATGCAGGGTCCAAAGTCTGAACAAACAGAGCCGAGAGGGAAGTGCAAAGGGCAGGAAGAGTGGCACAAGCAGGCAGTTTTGAGAACCTTTATTGAAGCTGGGAGATAGGTGGAGACACCCTGGATCCTTGGAGAATTTGCCAGTTCCTGTGGCGCTGTGTTCCTTCTCACCTCCCCTGAGCGACCCTCTTATTTATTTAGGTCGTCTGGCCCTGTGGCTGTGGTAGCAGACTGAGCTCTAGCACAGACTTTTCTGGGTCCAGCTGTGCATTTTGAGTCCTCATGGAGGGTGATACCTGGTGCAAACAGTGTCGCTATCGCCAAAGGTAAAAAATGGTCCTGGCCTCCCACGGTTTGCCACGTTGCACCTGTGGTGGCAATGAGTGTCCGCCCATGACTGTGTGCTCCCTCTGTTCCCTGCCCACCCTGCAGTCAACTGTTAGGAGAAGAGATGTGCCGCAGCTGGTCCTAATTTCTTTTTCTGCCATGGCGGCCTTGGAAGTCACATATTCCATGTGTAGAGTCATGAGATGGAGGTCAGTCTCTTGAATGATGTCCAGCAGCTACAGCAAGCTCTTATTAGGTTACACCATTCACAGTTCAGGTTTGTCAATTTTGACAGCTTCCCACTGTGGACTCGTGCGTCTTCCTCAGGTCTGCTGACTAACTCTGGAGTGATTACTGTTACAGCAATATCTGTCAGACTCTCTCAGTACCAGCAGCAGTTGGTTTAGATATACCTAGGCGTGGCTGATGGCTGATGGCATCATTTTGTCCCAGAGTTGCTCTGAAGAAAGAAACAATGATAGAATTAAACATGTTCTTCTGCCTCCACTGCAATGTGACACAAATCTCCTCAGTTCCTTCCTGAGATGAACCTGGAGATTCTAAGTATTCTCTGGGTAAGCTGACACTTTCGTAACTTATCCCACTAGGTAGGCATTATTT